TGCAACATGTCCAAAGTATGTCAGATGAGAATCCTTGCCTCCAAGGAACAGCCTGGCTTCACCGTCTCCAGGATGAACTTATTTGTTCTCCTAGCAGTCCATGGTATATTCAATACCCTTCTACATCACCACAGCTCAAAGGCATCAACTCTCCTTCTATCATCCCTAGTCATTGTCCAGCTCTCTGATGCATGGCAAGTGATTGCAAAGACCATGGCATGTATCAGGCACACCTTTTGCTCCAGACTGATATCATTGCTCTTCAGTACTTTGGAGAGGTCTTTGACAAAAGACTTCCTCAGTGCAATTCATCTTTTAATTTCCTGGTTTCTGGTACCAAGAGTGTTGATTGTAGAGCCAAGCTATCAACAATCTCAATCTCTTCACCATCTATCATGATGCTGCCAATCAGCCCAGTGGTGGGAATCTTTGTTTTCGTGATGTTGAGCTTCAATCCATATTGAAGGCTGCAGTCTTTGACCTTCTGCATCAAGCGCTTCAGGTTCTCCTCAGTTTCAGCAAACAGGGTTGTGTCATCTGCATAACATAGATTGTTGATGAGTCTACCTCCAGTGCTGATGCCACACTTCTCCTCACAGAGCCCAGGCTTCTGGATAATCTGTTCTGTATATAAACTGAAAAGATATGGAGATAGGACACATCCTTGACACACACCTTTCCCAACTTTGAACCATCCAGAGTTTCCTTGCTCTGTTCTGACCACTGCTTCTTGGTCCAAGTATAGGTTTTGCATAAACACAATCAAGTGTTCTGGGACTCCCATTCTTCTCAGAGTCAGGCACAGTTCGTTGTGATCCACACAATCAAATGCCTTTGCATAGTCAATGAAACACAGATAGACATCCCTCTGGTACTCTCTGCTTTCAGCTAAGATCCATCTAACATTAGCTATAATATCCCTAGTGCCACAGCTTCTTCTAAACCCAGCCTGCACATGTGGCAGTTCTCTGTTGATGTGCTGTTCCAGTCCATGTATATTGCTATTAGAAGGATCCTGACTGAAAGTGGAAAATATCAGAAGAACATCTATTTGTGTTTTATTGATTATGCAAAGGCATTTGACTGTATGGATCATAACAAACCTTGAGAAGAATGGGGATTCAAGAACACTTAGTTATAACTATATGAAATCTATGCCCAGACCAAGAGACTTTTGTCTAATCAGAACAAGGGAACACTGTATGGTTTAAAAGCAAGAAAGGTGTGCATCAGAGCTTCATCCTCTCTCCATATTTACTGCATCTGTATGCTGAGAAAATAATTTGGAAAGCTGGATTTTATTAATAATAATGTGGAATCTGGGATAGAGGAAGGTTCATAAAAAATATGTGTTGCACTGGAGCTGGCCTCCGCACAGCGGTGCGGGTGCAGATATAGTGTCCTCACTCAGTTCGACAAAGTGTGAAGACAGCGATGCAGAAGGGGCCTGGCACACTAGTGCCCACCCACTGGCTTGGCTTTGGCAATGCAGCACTGGCTGCCTCTGGTGGGCTCATTGGCTGTGTGAAAGCAGGGAGTGTCCCATCGCTGGCTGCCGGGCTGTTCTTCCGGGGATTAGCAGACCTGGGTGCTCACCAACTCTCTCAGGATCCCAGGAACATTTGGGTTTTCCTAGCTACATCTGGGACCTTGGCTGGCATCATGGGAATGAGATTCTATAACTCTGGAACATGTATGCCTGCAGGCTTAATTGCAGGTGCCAGTTTGCTGATAGTTGCCAAATGTGGGATTAGTGTGTTGAGTACCTCCCACAAATCCTAGTCAGATACCAGCTTGAACCCCTGAAGATCTAGAAATCTCCAAACTTCAACTGTCTTCAGTGTAAGAGAAAGAAGTACAGGGCTCGAGGGTTTTCATATATTCTTTTGACTTAAAACAAGATGACCGTGGATTTTTCAGGAAAAACTCAACAATGTTATAGTCCTCCATCAGTGGCAGTTACACATCATGAGAGCTTAACATTATAACCTCATGCAATTTGAGTCTTGTATATTGATGTATCTCTTCTTTCTGTAACTAGGTAAATTTTTAATGGG